ATGACCTTTTTCCAAAAAGAACCATTCCACTCGGTGATAAGCCTTGGCCATGTCAAGCTTAGTCGCAAAATAGCCTTCCTTAGCCTTCTTCCTGCTCTTCATAAACTGAAAACATTCAAAAGCAATTATGACATTATCAGTAATACACCTGCCAGGCACAAAGGCACTTTGTTCCTCTGATATAATGACATCCAAAATTTCTTTAAGTCTATTTGCAAGAACCTTGGAGATGACTTTAAACACCACTCTGCACAAACTTATCGGTCTGAAGTCTTTTGCCATAGTGGGGGTCTTTACCTTTGGAATGAGAGCAATGAGGGTGTGATTTAGTTCAGATGGCAGCACCCCATTGTTAAGAAAGTTGAGAGCAGTATCAATTACCTTAGGTCCAATAGCAACCCAATTTTTCTGGAAAAAAACCCGCCGAGAATCCATCCGACCCAGGAGCCTTGTTTGGGCTGATCTGGTCAAGGGCCATTTTGATTTCCTCTTCCCTGAATTGCTTCAAAAGTCTCTCGTTCATAGCAGGGGAAGTTTCTTGTCCAGAGCCTGTATCACAAAATCAGTATCAGGGATTGAACCCTTTTTGAAGAGTGATTTATAGTAATCCGCAAGGCATCCCATCACCTCGCTTTGTCCCTTGTATCTTTTCCCTCCTTCATCTTGTAGCATTTTAATAGTGTTTCTCTTCCTTCTTGGCGAGGCTTTTGTGTGGAAGAAGTTGGTGTTTTTATCTCCCCCATTAAGCCAATCAACCCTCGATCTATGCTTCCAAATAAGTTCTTCCTGGTATATAAGATCAGCCCTTTCAGCTTCCAGGGCCCTTCGTTTCTCAAGAACAGTCCTGGATTTTGGTTTGTACTTGAAAGTTTTCAGCAAAGCCTCAAGTCTTTCAATCTTTTTCCTTAAGTTCCCAAGCTTGTTTCTGCTCCACTGAAGGAGATCAGACTTGCAGCTATTAAGCATTCCAGTCAAAGGCTCATTGGGGCTTGACTCGCAAATTCCGCTGACAATTGAATTGCACTCAGGTTCTTTGAGCCATAGGGGTTCCACTTTAAAATACCATCCCCATTTGATTTTCTCATCATCTTTCCCAGCTGTATACAGTAGAACAGGACAGTGATCTAAACCACACTTTTCCAAAGGAATAATTTGGTGGTTTTGGAATAGCACTTTCCAATCCCAATTAGCAACACATCTATCCAATCTTTCCTCCATGTATCCTTCATTTTCTCGATTGTTCTCCCATGTGAAGGGATAACCCTCAAAACCACAGTCAAGCAGCCCATAATATTCCAGGGCTTCTTTAAATTCCAAAGCATGAAACTCATCAATCAACCATACAGACCCAAGGAAGACTACAACCATTTCTTAATCTTCTGAGAAGGTCCCAAGAACATAATCTCTCATCCCTGTTGGCCCATCCATAAAAACCAGTGAACCTCCACCTCTCATTATCATCATTTGAGGATATAATGACATCTAAGTGGTGGAGGGATGAGTCCAATTTCGTAACCATGATGTCCTCCTCCCATAATAAGCATAATCTTCCAGCCTTCCAGCCTCTCACATTGCTAGCAGGCACTCCACAACCATCATGATATCCAAGTTCCTTCTGAACTTCTTTCCATCCGCTCTCATCCTTTTTCGTTTCCATAAGGAATAGCACATGAGGTCTGTGTTTCCGGACAAGCTTCTTAAGCTTTGCAACTGCCATGGGGCTGCCCAACCCACGGAAGTTGTAGCTGATAATCTTCATTGGGCTCGGCGGCCTTGCTCCTCGGCAAGGATCGCCACTTCGCCAACCATTTCTAAAGAAGAGTTTCCTTTCGGACGTTTATCAACACAGGGTTCCACATCAACGTCCATAACATCTGGAGCCCCTCATTTACCATTCACCAGTAAGTCCAGCCCTTGGGGTTGATTGGTTTTAGTATACTGATCTCTGGCTAGCCTCGACCACTTCTTTCTGTCGACTTTCCTTACTGCATCCGTTATTCCCTGAGCATTTGAATCCTGCTGCTTCTGTCTTTCCTTCTTTTCTTTCTCGCTATCAGGATCAAAATCCTTTTCAAGATCAGTAGTCTCAGTGTGTTTCATTGATGCTTCAATATGTTTCTGTATTATCCCCTGTTCTCCTTCAATTAGGCCCTTTTGGACTGCGGTTCCATTTTCATCCTGAACGTGAGTGTCCTATAAATCCCTTGACAGTTCTTCATATATGTTGATAGCCCCTTCATTTCCATTTAGCTCTTTCTCTTGATTTACTTCCGCTCTTTTAGCTTCATTAGCTTCCTTTTCAGCTTTGACTTCTGCCCATAAACTTGCTAGTTGTTGAGCTTTTCCTTTTTACTTCAGAGGGATTCTCCTTAAAGGAGATTCTGCTCATAACCAAGACCCATAAGGATCTTCTTTTTCCACTTCATGCTCGCTTCCCTTAGTACACACCTTCTTCAGGTGACCAAACAATCCGCATTTGAAACAATAAATGGGGAGACGCTCATACCCAACTCTGTAGGATATGGGACCCTCCTTGCCCTGCAGTTTAACCACCCTCCTTAGTGGTTTGGTAATAGGTATAGTAACTCTGACCCTTAGATACTCACTACTGACTCCTGAGTGAAGTTCATCCCAACGGACGAAACTTCCAAACATCTCCCCAATCCTTTCTGCCATATGGATGGCTCTAAACTTCACTGGTAGTTTCCTTATTCTGACCCAGAAATCTGTTGTGGAGAAGTCAATCTTTTCAAGATCTGAATCCGGAGGGATTTCTTTGAAAACCATTAGTTGACGTTCCAAATGCCAGGGACCTCCATGTAGAACCTTGTTCTTATCGTCTAAGCAGTACAGTTGAAGTCTGACAATGTTATTCCTTGTGATTTGAATGTCGAAATCTTTCCTGAGCTTCCACGCCTCTTTGAGGATCCTTTTCAGGATTTTTTGAGATGGGAACTTACCTGAGTACACTTTTCTTGCAACACCGAGCTCCTTAATGGCTTCTTCAACACCCTCATTAGTCACAGAGTCATCAATACTAATAGCTGACTCCTCATCTTCTGTCAAATGTATTTCAGAGAGTTGGCCCGCGATATCTTCCTCCATCAAGTTTCCGAAAAAGAAGCACCCCCATACCTACGCCAAGGAGTTAAAAGCCGGGAAGATGGTCTGACGAAAAGATCAGGCAATAGCACAGGAAGATCAATCAGCCAGAGAAGATGGGGGGGGGGGGGGGGGGGAAGATGAAACGTCACACCACTCACAGAAGGAAGTGAAGAGACGAGAGAGCTCTCCAGAGACAGAGAGAACAAACAGAACATATCAGAACTTGGGGCTGCTTCGCTTGGACTGTTAATTATTACTCTAAATAGAACACAAGATCAATGGCAGTTGAACGAATTGTATAGCTTAACTTTTAAAATTTTCGTGGCTGTAATTAGCGGACCCTTTTCACAGGGCGGCGGGGAGGAGGACGATCTGAATGAGGCAAGACGGACGACACGGTTTTAATTTCTTGCGGTCGATTAGGTAAATTTTCATTTTTTTATATTCTGAAAAAGAAATGCATTCTCATATTTCGAAAGAATTGCAAAATATATTCGTTGTCTACGCTTTTTAGTAAGTCTTTTTTTACTGTATCTAACTAAACAATTATTAGCAAACAGGTCGCCAATTTAATTTCAAAGTTTGTTCTTAATATAGCTCAGATTTGGAAATGCTCGTTCTACACTTGTAGTTGCAACGGGTAGATAATACGAGGTTCAGAAGCAAAATAACTGACGAATATGACTAATGCACTTTTGTCTTGATTTAAGAAGACAGAGAGATAAGCTTTTGGGTATATTTTAATAGGAAATTTTATTTATAGTTTGATAAATTAATCTATGTTAGCTTTTAAAGCTGAAATGACTTGTACTGTTGCGGTAGAACACTCTGATACTACCTAGAGATGATGAGTTCAACACTTCGTTTATAAAATATATGAGGTTTTCTTTTACCCCAAAATAACAGTTGTCCTGTGACACCTCCCATACCCCCTTCCTCCTATGTCGTTGAATACTTTCTTCCTTTCGTTTAATTCTCTTTCTTCTTCTCAAATTCGTATTAATCATCAAGGTCATATCCCAGGTAGATGTAGATCATCCATTACATGTTTAGAGAAATAGTTATTCTTCATTTCTGCCAATTGTAACATAACATCCAAGCCTTGCTTCCATCTAGTCTAGGCAGTGATGGACCCAGGATTTCCGAAGAAGTGTGTCTTCGATAAAACACAATAAGGAATAAAAATTAAATAAAATTAATTCATAAAGTTCACAATGTCATATTTACCTGTTTAGAATCATATCATTAGCATTTTAACCTACTCCTACCAAATTAGCCACAATAAAACCACAATCTATTCTTTTTATAAGATAAATTTGGATTATATAAGATTTACAGGATCATATCTATAGGATGTCATCCACGACAAAAATATTTTGGAACAAAAAATAAGTGATCACATTGATGGAAACATCCATTACCACGATGGTAAATACTAAAACAATATCATAGTGCTAGCTAGAAAATATATATATCATCATTCGTGATCCTACCACTTCTTTATAGAGGTTCTCCACGAGAATATGCTCCATTCAAAATTTCTAATTCTCTGAGAAATTTTAGGGAGGATATTTTTGTCATATTAATTATTATAAAAATAATACACATAAACAAAGAAAAAGTAAATATAACCTAACCGCCACTCTATAAAAAGGTTTTCATCAATTAAATAATTTGACAAGCTAATCGTGACAATTAATTTTTTTAACAAATCATTTAGAAAAAACTTAGAGAGTAATAATTTTTATTACAATTTTTAGACATCTAATTAGAGCACGCCACTTAGTACTCTCTTTAATTTTCAATATCCTATCATATTACTGAACGGTGTGAAACTCTTTCATTTCAATTTCAAATTTACATATTTGTGCAAAGAAAAATTAGAGTTAATGTGATTTAGACAATAATATTCATTCTAATATGGTTTAAAATAGGGTTAATACCTTAGTTTGGCGCGTAGTTTCCGAAATTGCTATCCTGGTCTGAACTATGTACCATACTTCCTAATTTGGCCCGGAGCCCCGTTTGACCGTCAAATTGGACGGTCAACTCCGTTGACCGTTAGTCAATGACTAGCTCACTTGTCAAGTCAGCGAGCATGGAATAAAAAAATTCATTTTTTGTTTCTGTATTAATTTTCTTTTTTAATAATAATAAACATAAATAATTAAGTAACCCAATTTATCCCCTTCTTCCCCGAAACCAAACCTATCCTCCTTCCCAATCTCCTCCGACATCGGCAACCCGCCCGAAACCAAACCCATCCTCCTTCCCAATCTCCTCCGACATCGGCAACCCGCCCGAAACCAAACCCATCCTCCTTCCCATTCTCCTTCGACACCGGCAACCTGGCCGCGTCGGTGACTACCACCGACATCCCGCCGCCGCGGTGGATCTGGGCCGAATTCAACAACTGATTCTCCCACTGGATCCCGCCCCACGACGTCGTGAACTACGTGCTCCCGGAATCGACAAAGCTCTCAAAGCTCAGGTATGACTGTCAAAGCGATCAAGAATAGCGCCCACAGGAACATCATGCTAGTGGAGAAGAAGCACCGGTGGAACTGTCGGTTCATCGCGTGATGATGGCTGCTCCGGTCGATCTTGAACTTCTGCAGCTTCGACGGAAACATCTGCTCCTCAAACGACGACATCCTTGTTTTCCTCCGCCGCCGCCAAAGTCGTCATCGGATTGGTGCCTGGATTTACGGTCTGATGGATTGTGGGAAGTAATCTTGATGGGTGACAAGGGAAGGGAATTAAGCAGATGCAGAGTTAACAATGGTGAAAAAATTGGGGATTTTGTTTATTTATTTGAGAGGTGGATTTTCTTCCGCACCTGCTGAAGAAAGGGAAAGAGAAGAGCTTGGTTGCCGCCGTCGGCGAAGAATAGGAAGGAGAATGGGTTTTGTTTCAGGGAAAAAGGGGATAAATTAGGTTATTTATTATTATTTTTTTTGTTTGTTATTATTATTAGAAAAGAAAATGAATATGGAAACAAAAAATAAATTTTTTTATTCCATGTTCGCTGATGTGGCAAGTTAGCCGGCACTTGACTAACGGTCAAACCCGACTCCAGGCCAAGTTAGGAAGTATAGTACATAGTTCAGGTCATGATAGCAATTTCGGAAAGCACGGGCCAAAGTAGAAAGTTTGTGTATAGTTCGGGCCAAACTAAGGTATTAACCCTTTAAAATAAAATATTATCTTTCTAAAAGCATGGTCGCGGTCACGTGTTAGGTTCCTTTACGACCATGATACATAATTACACCAATATGGTGTGAAACTTCTACGATCTAGATATTTTTCGTACCTTGATGCAGTAAAACTGAAATCATTGTGGTATTATTTTTTCTACCATAATAATACTCGAAAGTCCCGTTCGTGTGATGATATTATTGATAGACTTGCATTTTTCGCTTTATAACGAACTAAATTGAAGTTATTTGTAGATCATATAAAAATTTGGGTTAATTGCATGGTTGGTCACTGAGAGTACAAAAAAACGTTCAAGTTTGGTCACTAGAAATATTTAAATCCATTGGTGGTACTTCAATTTACTGAAACCGTTCATGTTTGGTCACTCTCCGTCCAACTCCGTTAACTTTTACTGATGTGGCAGTTAACTCTAAAAGTTGACCGTTAACTTAGTGACGTGGCAACTAAAAAATTATTAAAAATAAAAAAATAAACTTTTATATTTTCCACCTCATTATTACATTCATTAAAAAATAAAAAAGCCTAATTTCTTTATTTTTTAGAAAACGAGACTTGCGGGAAGCAAACCACGATCCTCCCGTCGCCGCCATCGCGGACGACGTTGCGGAGGGCTTCCACGACGAAGAACGCAGCGGCGCTGTCCAGCCCCGTCGTGGCCTCGTCCAGGCAGAGCACCCGCGTAGACCAGCAGGCTTTCGGGTCCTTCAATACTGCAACCGAGCAGCTTAACGAGGTTCTTGTGTTGAATTCCGCTGATCAAATTCACCTCGTTAAAGAACTCCTCCACCCATTGGCTTGTGTTGAAGATCAACCGCTTCACTGCCACGGTTTGGTTATTGGGAAGAGATCCAATGAAAACTGTGTCAGCTCCTCCTTGGCCTAGCTTCTTCGACAGGCTGAAGTAATCAGTGGCTTTTTCTAAAGTTTCATAGTTGAAGTTCATGCTTAACCTGTTGAAGCTTATCGATACCTTGCCCAGATTTCTGCGTGCTGTGACAATTTCCAGTAAGTGGGGGAGCTAAAAAAATGGAGTAGCTCTTCTAGTTTGTGGAGATGGTTTTTGGGTATATACCTTGTTTAGCCTTTAGGCGTTTGAGATGGACAGCGTAAGCTGCGAAGAGTGTGAGCATGGCGAATGCTGCTGATGCTAACGCAATCGCCATTATCACTCCCAGTGTTGAATCCCTTGAAAATTCAGAACAGAGCCGTGGCAACTCAAAATCAATGCTCAATTTTGCAAGAAACCCTAATTAAGTTATTCAAGATCGTTTCCCCCTTCTTCCTGTTTCTTTTCCATCGCTTTCCCTCTGATTTCTCAGCAAACTGATGAGACTGTTCCTCTCATCCGTCATTCAACACGAGCAGTCCAGCCCAATAGAAGGTATCGAGATTATGTGGGGTAATTGGGCCGAGAGAATGGAAGCTTGCTTGCCAGGTAGATAGAGTCCAGTAGTCTTGCTGATTGTGCAGCAAAGTAAACGTTGGAAGAAAGAGTCAAGGTGGTTAGATTCTTAGTTGTTAGAGTCCTTTCATTTAGCATAATAATGTGGAGTGCAGTAGAAAGTAGTTCCACAAAGCTAGGTTGAGTCAGTTGTTCTTTTTGAATTCGGTGATGTATTTAAACAAGGAATAAATGAATAAGAAGGCAAGCATTATTTGGCAATCAACCCACTGGTTATTCTCACCAAGAAACGAGAGACTGGCTAGATCCCGCCAAGAAAGGGGATTATTCCAATCATACAACTTTGATCCTTATCACTTGGTATCAGAGCCGGCGATGGGCACCCACGCTAACCGCATCGAAGCACTCGAAACTGCCGGCCAAGAAAACGACCAGAAGCTAACGGCAATTCTCGATCAATTGGTTGCCTTACAACTTGCCGTGACTCAGATAGCCCAGGAACGCACCGTTCGGACTGATGATCGGCGCTCTGTCGATGGGGATGCATCTGTTAACGGGCAGCCACGCCGCAATCAGCTCGACGACGAGGCGGAGCGTGAACATCAACCCCTCTTTGGAGCTAAACTAGCTCGCCTGGAGTTCCCCCGCCAGCTGAAGATCCACTTCGGCCAGTCCCTCAAGACTTACAAGACATTATCCGCGACTTCAGCGATCTGTTCGACGAACCCAGCCAGCTCCCGCCGCGCCGCCGCATTACCTTGAAGGAGGGCACAGAAGCCATCAATGTACGACCTTACCGCTACGCCTACTTTCAAAAAGGAGAAATCGAAGAACAGGTCAACAAGATGCTCGCTGCCGGTCTCATCCGGCCATCGACCAGTCCCTTCTCCTCACCGGTCCTCTTGGTCAAAAAGAAAGACGGCACATGGCGTTTCTGTACTGACTACAGAGCACTCAACTCGGCCACCATCAAAGACCGATTTCCGATTCCAACCGTCGAGGATATGCTAGACGAACTTCATGGTGCCGCCTTCTTCACGAAGTTGGACCTACGAGCCGGCTATCACCAAGTACGGATGCATCCAACCGATGTTCCCAAAACTGCATTCCGCACGCACAATGGACACTACGAGTACCTAGTGATGCCGTTTGGCCTTTGCAATGCACCCTCTACGTTTCAAGCTGTTATGAATGAGATTTTCAGGCCTATGCTCCGCAAATTTGTATTGGTGTTCTTCGACGACATCCTGGTGTACAGCCCTGACATGGAAAGCCATCGGGATCATGTTCGAAAAGTTCTCCTCACCCTGAGGCATCACCAGTTCTTCGTCAAATTCTCTAAATGTGCTTTTGGCCTCCAGGAGATCGAGTACCTCGGCCATATCATCACCAATCATGGGGTCAAGGTCGACCCTAGCAAAATTCAGGCCATGCTCGACTGGCCCATTCCCGCCACCGTCACCGAGCTTCGCGGTTTTTTTGGGGCTTACCGGCTACTACCGCAAGTTCGTTCGGGATTACGGCTCAATCTCCCGGGCGCTCACTAATCTCCTCAAAAAGGGGCAATTCGCGTGGTCTCCAGCTGCCGACGAGGCCTTCAACAAATTGAAAACTGCCATGTCCACCACGCCTGTGCTCGCTATGCCCAATTTCAACGCCCCTTTCATCATCGAAACTGATGCATCCGATGACGGCATTGGCGCGGTTTTGATGCAGAACGAGCAGCCCATCGCTTACATGAGTCGGGCTTTAGGAAAGGCCAAGCAGTCCCTCTCGACCTATGCCAAGGAAATGCTGTCCATAGTCACCGCTATTCAGACGTGGCGGCCATATATTTTGGGCCGACGATTTGTCATCCGGACCGATCAGAAGAGCCTTAAACACCTCTTGGACCAGCGGATAACTACGCCAGAGCAACAAAGATGGGTCTCCAAATTAGTTGGTTTTGATTACCAAATTACCTACAAACCAGGAAGGGAGAATCAAGCGGCCGATTCTCTAAGTCGGCGGCCGCCGAGTTCGGCGCTCCTTGCTGTGTCCATTCCTCACACGACTCTTTGGGAGGAATTGAAGGCTTTGGCTCTTACGCATCCTTATATGCAGCAGCTCATGGACCGGGCCAAATCAGCGAATCCGGGGCCTTATTCCATCCGCGCCGACATGGTCCTCTACCGCCGTCGCGTCGTTATTCCTCCCAACTCTCCCTTGGTTCAGCAGTTGCTGCGAGAGTTCCATTCCACCCCTGCCGGCGGCCACTCAGGCATCCTCCGCACTCAGAAGCGGCTGGCCGCCCAATTCTATTGGCCAGGGATGTTGAAGGACGTTCAGAGCTTCGTCCACGCCTGTGACGTTTGCAATCGGGCCAAGGCTCAAGCTCTCACCCCCGCCGGCTTACTCCACCCTCTGCCCATTTCGACCCAGGTTTGGGAAGATATTTCAATGGATTTCATCGACGGTTTGCCTAGCTCCGGCGGGAAGACTGTGATCCTGGTGGTCGTCGACCGCCTGACCAAATACGCCCACTTCCTCGCCTTGTCCCATCCTTATACTGCTCGCAGTGGCTGATCACTTCGTGACAGGGATCGTCCGTCTCCACGGGCTTCCTCGTTCCATCGTCAGCGACCGGGATCGAGTTTTTATGAGCCATTTTTGGCAAGAATTGCATCGTCAGTCGGGCACCACTCTGTTGATGTCCTCCTCATACCATCCGCAGACCGACGGTCAAACGGAGGTCGTGAATCGCTGTGTGGAGCAGTATCTGAGATGCTTTACGCATCAACAACCCAAACGCTGGCTCCTATCACTTCCCTGGGCTGAATTTTGGTACAATACTTCTTTCCACAGCTCTGCAGGTATGTCTCCTTTTCAGGCTTTGTATGGTCGTCTTCCTCCCGTCATTCCCTTGTATCGGCTAGGAGCGACTGCTGTTCATGAGGTGGATCGCCAGCTGCTGGACCGGAATGATCTCCTTAATGAGCTTAAGACCAATCTGTCGGTGACTCAGCATCGTATGAAGCAGAACGCGGACTTGAGGCGCCGCGAAGTCCAATTCGCAGTTGGTGATTGGGTTTACCTGAAGTTGCAGCCTTATCGGCAGCATACGGTGTTCCGTCGGGCGTCTCAGAAGTTGGCTTGTCGTTACTATGGGCCTTATCTGATCACAGAATGTATTGGCCCCGTCGCTTACCGTCTTGGCTTGCTTGCCGGCAGCCGCGTCCACCCGGTTTTCCATGTGTCCTTGCTGCGCCCTTGCCCAAACCCACCTTCGTCAGCTAGCTTGGAGATTCCACCCATTGCTGACAATGGGGCGCTACTCCTGCAGCCGAAGCCATCTTGGACACGCGTTTCACCCGGCGAGGCTCTCGCCTAATCAAGGAGGTGCTGGTCCAGTGGCAGTCTCTTCCTCCCGATGATGCGACGTGGGAGGCCGCTGATGAATTCTACGAACGCTTCGTCCAGCTCGACATTGAGGACAATGTCGTTTCTTCAGGGGCGGGTAATGATGAGACTGTTCCTCTCATCCGTCATTCAACACGAGCAGTCCAGCCCAATAGAAGGTATCGAGATTATGTGGGGTAATTGGGCCGAGAGAATGGAAGCTTGCTTGCCAGGTAGATAGAGTCCAGTAGTCTTGCTGATTGTGCAGCAAAGTAAACGTTGGAAGAAAGAGTCAAGGTGGTTAGATTCTTAGTTGTTAGAGTCCTTTCATTTAGCATAATAATGTGGAGTGCAGTAGAAAGTAGTTCCACAAAGCTAGGTTGAGTCAGTTGTTCTTTTTGAATTCGGTGATGTATTTAAACAAGGAATGAATGAATAAGAAGGCAAGCATTATTTGGCAATCAACCCACTGGTTATTCTCACCAAGAAACGAGAGACTGGCTAGATCCCGCCAAGAAAGGGGATTATTCCAATCATACAACTTTGATCCTTATCACAAACAAACAAAACCTAGAAAATTTTATATAAATTTTCAAAAACAAAGACTCAAAGAGTCCAAAATTACCGCGACGATGCACTCTAACACCTCCGTCGCCGTAGAATTTATGATCGGAGTACTTCAAATAGCAACCATCATTCAGCGCTCTCCCTTCCCTCCTTGGCATACATCTTCCGACCACCGCAGCGGCGGCTTTACCCAAACACTCCCGGCAACCATCTCTCTCGACGCTCTCCCAGCACTGCGCCAGAGCATAAGCCCTTCCTCCAACCTCCGCCACTCCGAAAAACCCACTCACTCCCTCCAACACCGCCGCGTTCCTCGTCACATTCGCCACCGCGTACCTCACACTCTGCGCATACTCGAATTCCGCTCCGGCGGCGGCGACGCCGCCACATGTGAAGTTGTCGATGGTGGGGGAGACGGATTCTGCATAGAAGCTGTAATTCTCGTAGCGGAGGAAGCAGCCGTCGAGGTAGATCCGACGTCGAGCTAGAAGTCATACAAGAAATTAGGTTTTTTATTTTTTTAATAATGTAATAATGAGGTGGAAAATATAAAAGTTTATTTTTTATTTTTAATACTTTTTTAGTTGCCACGTCACTAAGTTAACGGTCAACTTTTAGAGTTGACTGCCACATCAGCAAAAGTTAACGGAGTTGGACGGAGAGTGACCAAACATGAACGGTTTCAGTAAACTGAAGTACCACCAATGGATTTAAATATTTCGAGTGACCAAACTTGAACTTTTTTGTAATCTCAGTGACCAACCATGCAATTAACCCATAAAGATTTAAATGATAATTAGGCTATAGTTTGGAGCCAATACATGGAAAAGAGCATATTATAGATATTTGGTTTGCTTTTACAAAATTTTAAAATTTTGCTTTGAATGTAATGCGGAAAAAGAAGAAAGAAACTATTGACGATGAAGATATGTTTTACTTATAGAAATAAACGCATTGTTATTGATGGAGAGGATAACTTTGTTGATGGCGAAGCAATATTAACGAAGTCAAAAAGATAGCTTGGAGTAATTTTTGACATTAAGGAGTAAATCGGAATGTTGTTGGATTATAATTTTTAGGAGCCAATTCCTTTAAATGAGTTTTGGTTTGGTACTTAAAATCGATACTTATCTCTGATGCATACGTTAGACTGACTGAAAACTCTATTATATATGTTCATTTTTTTATTTAATTCAACCATTCGGATTCTTTTAAGGTGCCAAATAAAAATAAATAATATCTTCTATAATTGCTATTGTATTTTACGTTGTTTATGAGATATATATCCGACCAACGGGCGGGCCCAAATCTAGTAAACTATGTATACCTTATGTTAGTTCAAACATGTTGTCGACATTCTCCGACTGTGCTCTCGTATCAAAACATGGAAGGAGGAGATGCAAGACAATGGTCGACTTAGCATTAATGGTACTAGTCCACTTCTTTCTCCATGAAAGGGGTTAATCATGCCGGTGGCATACCACCCGGTTAAACCTGGTTCAATTCTGTGCCGGTCATAAAACCGGCATGACACCACTGGTATGACCGGTATGATCGACTTACGCATTCTAAGCAAAATGACACCAATTTAATGAATTTAATTAATAAAAAATTAATCTATTATTCATTTTATTGAATTTAATAGTTAAAAGTTGATGATAGTTGGATTATAACTAAATTATCCACAAATATGTTTTATGTATGATTAAATACATTGGATATTAATTGTTTTTCCAATTTTTTAAACCGGCATGAACCGGCACAAACTGGTTATACCACCGGTCATACCATTCCACTTGCTAAACCGGCACAACGGTATAAACCGGTTTGACAACCTTGCGGTTAATCCTTGGCCGAAGATTGATTGATTGTTTGTATGATTAGTGTTGTACCATAAATTTTTGGGTAAATACAATTTGATAGCCAAACCTTTTATTTTAAACAAAATAATAGTTAAACTTTTTCGAAAAACAAAATAATAACCAAACCGTTAACTTTCCATCCATTTTACTGTCAGTTGACTCTGATGTGGCAACTTAATTATTGAACCGGAAATATTTATGTCACGTGGCATTTTTATATTTCTTAACTCTACATATTCTTTAATTTTAATTTTTTCATATAATTTTTTCGGGTTATCTCTTTTCCTAAATCCCACCACCACCATTCCCAAACTTCCATCTCCCCTAATTCTGTCGCCGCGCTTAGGATAGGGTGAGTAACCCTTTGTTACTCACCCGTGAGTAACCCTTTGTTACTCACCCGTGAGTAACCCTTTGTTACTCACCCGTGAGTAACCACCTTAGGACCGAAGATCTGGGCCGGGCTGATCGTGTGGCTGTGGTTGATGCGGTGATGGTCAGGGGCATTTTTGTCCGAAATTTGAATTAATGACTTCCCCCTTTTGTCCGTTGCGAATCTCTCTGTGCGCGAGTTGGATTCGGTTTTTGGAGAGAGAAACTGCGAGCAGCAACTGAGAAACAGGGGACGGCGATTCTCCATAATTGATCGACGGCGATAGAAACTGCGAGCAGCAGCTAATCGAATCGAGCTTTATGATTCTCCATAATTGATCGACGTGTGCGCGAGTTGGATTCGGTTTTTGGAGAGAGAAACTGCGAGCAACAGCTGAGAAACAGGTGACGGCGAATCTTTTCTGATTCTCCATAATTGATCGACGGCGATAGAAACTACGAGCAACAGCTAATCGAATCGAGCTTTCTGATTCTCCATAATTGATCGACGGCGATGTTAGATATTAGATTTTTTTATTCTTCCTGTTTAGCTAATCGAGTTTTCTGTTTATCTTTGGTTCGTTGAGCGTTCTGTCGATCTCTGGTTTCGTTGGAGGTTTTTCATTGCTGCTAGTCGAGCTTGTTCATGTTTAGCTAATCGAGCATGTTTGAGTTTCTCTGAGTTTCTTTGTGTGTTCTGTTTAGCTAATCGAGCTTGTTCATGTGTTATGTTCTTTGTGTTTTGGTTTTTTTGCAGTATTCTGGTGAGATGAGTTACGTAAATTGTGGCGATGTTGTTCCATTTGATAGATCTGGTTCTTCAACCAGCGTTGTAGGATTTGGTTCTTCATCTAGCGTTGTTGGAACTGCTTCTTCATCTATCGATCTTGGATTTGGTCATTCAGCTAACTCTGGTGAATCAGGAGGTAAGATATACAAATTTGTTTGTTTATTGAAGTTTGAATGTGTTAGATACCATATGGTACCATGGTGGTAATTACTGGTATACGATGAGAGGTGATAATATAGTGTTGTGTTGTGATGTTATTGTGATATGTATTTAAGTTTTACCATATCATACCATGGTGGTAATTACTTGTACCATGGTTGGAATCATCGGTATAGTGTCGTAATTTGATTTTACCATGCCTTACCATGTGGTATAGTGTGGTAGTTTCAAGTTAAATGTGGGGTTATGTGTGATAATTGATTTTACCATGTCATACCATGTGGTAAAATATGGTAATTTGATGTTATCATGTATAGTTTGTGGTATAGTGTGGTTTTTTGGGATTTTGTTGCTGTTGTAAGTGATTTTACCATGTCATACCATGTGGTATAGTGTGGTAATTTGATTTTACCATGCCATACCATGTGGTATAGTGTGGTAATATGCTGAGATGTGATTCTTTTGTGGCATGAAATTCATTTTACCATATTATACCATGGTGGTAACTCTTGTATCATGGCTGTAATTATTGGTATACATTGAGATTTCATACTGTTGTGGTGTGGAATCCATTTTACCATATCATACCATGGTGGTATTATATTTGTACATATTTAATATGTTGCTTCATAATGTTTATAGGTTTCAATGGTATATATCCTACTGTTCGTGATTCTTGGAAGGACTTACAGTTTAATACACCAGATGATGCATACAATTTCTATGTGGATTATGGGAATCATGAAGGTTTTGGTGTGAGGATTTATAACCAATCAGCATGTCCGAAGCTCAATGGTGGTTCTTCAGCTGTATATGATATCAAGTATTGTTGCAATAAGGAAGGTTGGAGAAGAGGTAGCAAGAATAACCCTGATAATGCAGGTGTTGTTGATACGAATGTTCGTGTTCGTAATGTTCCAGAACTCAGGGGTGGATGTAATGGTGCTTATATACGACTGAGGTGGTTTAAAGAGTTTAAATGCTACAAGATCTATCGTTTGTATAATGTGTACAACCATGACATGATTCCTGAGTCTCTGCGTCACTATGTGAGATCCAGCAGACGAATGGCTCCTATGTATAAGATGTTGGCAGAGGTGAATGATGCTGCTGGTATTGGTGTGACTTCTTCGTATAATGCAATTAGTAGGGCTGGTGGTGGTCGGAAGTTTGTTGGGTTCACAAAGAATGATTTGAAGAACCATCTGCGAACGGTGAGGATGTTATCAATGGAGTATGGTGATGCGACTGCATTGCTTGAATATTTTAGACGTCAAGCACAGCTGGATCCTGGGTTCTTTCATGAGGTGGAGGTTGATGTTGAAGAGAACATTGCTAGTATTTTTTGGGCAGATGGGAAGATGAGGATGGATTATCATTATTTTGGTGATTCAATTAGTTTTGATACTACTTACCGGACTAACAAAGAGTATTGGCCACTAGGTATGTTTTCTAGTTTGTTGTTTATTATTGTCTTTGTGAGTTTGTATGATTATTATTATTATCATTCTGTATCATGGTTATTTTGTTCTTAAAAGTATGTACCATATGGTATGGGTTGGTATGGATTGCTTTTTTGTTCTTAAAAGTGTTTTATCATATGGTATGTGTTGGTAACAAGGTTATTTGAGGTGGTTTTTGCGTTGTTAGAAGTCTGTACTATATGGTATGGGCTGGTATGGATTGTGTTTTTGTTCTTAAAAGTCTTTTACCATATAGTATGGGTTGGTAACAAGGTTATTTGAGTTGGTTTTTGCGTTGTTAGAAGTCTGTACTATATGGTATGGTCTGGTATGGATTGTTTTTTTTATTCTTAGAAGTCTTTTACCACATGGTATGTGTTGGTAGAATTGTTTTTACTCACATTTTCTTATGTTTTTGTAGCTTTGTTTGTTGGTTTCAACAATCATCACAAACTGACTGTCTTTGCGGCTGCTCTTCTATATGATGAAACAACGACAACATTTGAATGGCTTTTCGATCAGTTTTTGAAATTCATGGGAGGTGTGAGACCGTTATCAATGTTTACTGACCAGGCTGCTGCAATTGCTGCTGGTATAAGGTCTATTTTCCCAGATTGTTTTCATGGGTTGTGTACATGGCATATTGCTCAGAATGCAGTTGTTAATCTGCGAAGTTTGTGTGACTCTGAATTCCTTCGTGAGCTTAGTTATTTGATGTATAATGCTGATGATGAGATTGATTTTGAGAATAATTGGAAGAAGATGATTGAGAAGTGTTTTCCTGGGAAGGGACCTTTGGGACACAGTTGGTTACAGGGCATTTACAAAGCCAGGAAGAAGTG